GAATATGAAAATCTAACCTTAATTTAGAAATTACCGGCAATACAAAATCCGGCCACCTAATTGTTAACCTTAGCCCACTGTATCACAACAGTAATGAATCATGCGTATCTTTTTGTTTTGGGAACGACGAATTGAAATTATTTGGTCGTAATGGGACCTGCTCAATTTTGAATGATCATAAGTTTATTGCTGAAGAAATTGAAATATTCCGTATTAACAACACACTTAAAGAAGGCCCAACTGTTTTGAATGCTAAACAATTCGTTAGTTGGCTCTTGAGTCAAAAAGATAATGATTAGCCTTTTCTATCGCATGAAAATAATATTATTCGCAAAGACTTTGTAAATATGCTATTTTAAGCTATAACTTAGTTTATAAGTTTTAAATTAATACTCTAACGATTTTACATATCTAATAGCATTCAAAGAATATTCTATTTCATAAAGGACAATCAAAGATCACAGAATTTGGATGCCAAAACAGATAAATGGGAGTTTCGGTTTCCAACTCAGCTGTTCATGGAATATTTGACCTCAATATATAATTTAAGGAAATAAATAGAAAATAACAGATTAAATCGTTAGCTAAGTTAAAAATGAAAATTCTTAGTTTATATGATCAAATTTAAGAAGTAAAAATAATAAATCTTGCTCGCCAATTTATACATTCTTATATCTTTCAAGGGTTTAACTTATCTGTTATCTAATTGGCCTTTTACTTATAACCCATAAATGTTTGCTATATACAATTACAATCACAATTGTAAATGATATTAGAGGTTGGACACGATGAGTCCTACCTGGGTTACCCGTGAGTAGGTTGGGTATCGAGTTGGAGTGTTTTTTAATTCGTTCGTTGTTGAGTGAGTGTACCAATCAGTGTATCTAATACTATAAGCTATTAAAAATCGCTAATATTTACTATTGCTATACTTTAATTTTATTTATTCGAATTACAAAGATTTTTCTTATTAATCTAGTTGAGTTAGTATATGCGATGATAGCGAGTCTTATATTATGAATCAAAATACAAGCTTTACTTTGGCGATACTGATACGTTTATGGCTCGTTCAAAAATGTCTTTTGAAACAAAATTTAATGTTGCACAGCTTTATTTTTCCTTAATTTTAACAACACAGAATTGTATAATGAAAATTGTGAAAATTTTAAAACCTACATCAAGCAAAGATTGCGGAAATATGGACTTTGAAGCGTTGATTATTGTTGACGAAGTCTTGGGGATTGAGAATCATTATAATTAGCTTTAATTTTTTCAACTTCATATTTCATTGTTTCATTGCAAGTATAATCCGTTTGTATCTTGAGTTTTCACGTTTTAGCATAAGCTTCAAAATTATACAATATTAATGTTCTAAGTATCTATAGTTGTCTCAATTTACCTCGACCTAACTCCTATCGAATGGTGACAAATCCACTAGGTTCATATAGTGTTCATATGTATCCACATACACAGTTCCCTAGTTACACTAAAAATACAAACATGCATGCAGACAGAACGAAAAATAAAACGTAACTATTAATATAATTTTGTATCACTTTGACTAAACATTAAATATCCTCCGCAAAGTTCCGGACAATTAAGATTGTATTTTGTTTAATGCAGGATTTTTTTTACTTCTTAAAAAATGGACTCTGAACAACTTTATGAACTTGGTTACAATTATAAATACGGTATTGGTGTTAGGAAAGATGAAAAGAAAGGTTTTGAACATTATACGAGAGCAGCTGAGTTAGGAAATTTGGATGCGATTTATGCTGTTGGCAATTGTTATTATGATGGAATTGGAGTAGAATTAAATTATTAGAAAGCGTTTGAATATTATAAAAATTGGCTGATTTGGATAATGATCGAGGAATATGTGATGTCGGTTATTGTTATAACAATGGAACAGGGTTGTTCAGGATTTTAATAAAGCATTTGAATACTATAAAAAAGCTGCTAATATGGGTGTTGATGTTGCAATGGTTAATCTTGCAAGATATTAGCGAAATGGTATCAGTACAAAGAAAGATATTTTAGAGTGCAAATTATTGGTTTGCAAAATATAAAAGTCATTTGAAAACTAATAAATCACCAGACCATATTAATCCTGAACTTAAGAGAATATTAGATGATGAGAGATTTAAATTATCTTGGATTGATTATATTGAGTTCAAAGATATCAATGAGTTGGGAAAAGGGGATTTACAACTGTATATTATGCACGTTGGGATGATAGAATTAATAATATCGAGAAATGTTGCACTTAAGGTGATTCGTGGTTCAAACGAAAATGAGCAAGAATTTATTCAGGATTAAAAAAAAATTACTGTGAAAATGATTGCAAGAATCCTTCGTTCTTGGAATGTTATGGAGTATCAAGAAATAATTCTGGTGATTATATTATTGTTTTGAATTACGCGGACAAGGTTCGTTACGACACAAGTATCGCAATTAGTATGGAAAGATAAGGTGAACCTCTTGCAGTGTATAGCTTTGGATCTCGAATCAATTCATTCGAAGAACTCGTTCACAGAGATTTACACAGTGGTAACGTTTTGCAACGGACTGCTTTGCATGTCGTATATATCACAGATCTTGAAATTTCTAGAAAAGTAAAAGAATGAAGATTTTGTGGAATTCTACCATATATAGCACCTGAGATTTTGATGGGTCAACCGTACACTCGAGCATCAGATATTTACAGTCTTGGAGTTATCATGGCTAAAATTTCGATCGGACAAAGAGCATTTGATGGAATTCCGTTTGATGATGATCTTGTATCGAAAATAATTGGTGGATCAAGACCTAAATGTTTAGGACCTGAATGTTATATTAAATTAGCTATGAAATGTATGGATAAAGATATTGATAAGCGATCTAGTGCAACAGAAATTATTGAAATAATCACCCGATGGTTAGATAAAATGGATCAGGATGAGGATAATGAAATCAAGAAACAAATCTTGGAAGCAGATAATATTAAACCAGAGCCAATTGAACAAATACATTCGCAATACATATATACTAGTAAGTTATATGATACGAAAAAATTTCAGAATATTTCAGTAAGCAAGCCGATTAGAGTATAGATATTCAAAGTGAAATATCAAATTTATTTTTAAACTAAATTATATGAAATGTGTTTATTTTTTTATTTTTTTTATTAAATTATTAAATGTCCTTACTGTATTTTTTTTTAGAAATGTTATTTTCTATATAGTCGTAGCTTGGCGTATAGTATCGGTATTTTTTTAAAAAAATGGTTGCGTTATATAGAGATTTTTTTTATTTTTTTTATAAAATATGATATGATTATAAGCGGGTTATTATATGAAGAGTTGACTGTATGAGATTTTATTTATTTATGAGTTGTCTGACTTAATAAGAGTATAATTCAAGTCACCAGGTCTCGTTCTCCACCATCCTAAAATATCAGGGTAATTTCCTTTTACATCCTAGAATATTCGTTTATTTATTTTTATTTGCCTTGTCCAGATCTTAAAAAGCTCTTTTGTTGATTTTGTAAGTGCTTCGTTTGTTGCTTTTTAACGTCAGTTCTATCAAATTTTATGTAGCAGCTTATCTTCCAGATGTCAAATAAACCTATGATTCAAAATAATTTATTTTCATATATCTGCATATGTTTATATTAGAAGGAGAATAAATTATAAATTATAAAAACATTTAATGTTTTTTTTAACCTACGCATTAAATAGGAATATTGTAATAACGCGCATCCGTGAATTATTTCGAGACTCTACGCGTTATAGCGGAGCGATAATTCGAATTATAGTATGTACAGTGTGGGACAGCAAAAAACATCTAACTTTTTTTTAAAGGCGCCAAATTTTGAGATTTATACTCAAATCTGATTGGCTAATTTTTGTATAACAAAATTCTGATTGGTTAAAAATTTATACAAACAAATTTTTTTATATATTAAATGCCAAATTTTTGATTACATATAAACTTTAAGCTCTTATAACTTTTTAAAATTGTAATAAAAATAAAAATCTGTTTTAACAGAATTGTAGCTTAGACTAAAAGCAACAAATCTGTAAGACAGATTTTTTTAAAAGTTATTTGTTTGTAAGTTATAAGCATTTTTATATTTTATATATAAAAATTGGATGTTTTTTGCTGTCACGCACTGTACTAATTTTGTGGAAAAGAGTCACTCTGATATATATTGAAGGTAGAATTAGGATCTGTGAATGTCCATGGTGAAATATCAGCAATTCTGAACATCGTTTTCATGTTTCATATCAGATGTTTCAATAACATTTATTTTCAGCATTACTAATTAGCAAACTAGCTCCTATTGAAATATTGTGACAGGGTTAGCGATGCCTGACGAAACCATGTGATGCTAATTATCACATGCTATTACTTATAAAAAACCAAAATAAATTGATGATTTTTATATACTGAACATGTGACAATTAGCATCACATGGTTTCGTCAGGCATAACTAGCCAGGGTTACTGTACGATTTCCGAAAGCTATTTTCCTAAAGAACATAATTATTTTTTCTTTCGGGAAAATAGCTTTTGAAAACTTGAGTACATTATTGTATTAGTATTAAAAAAAAAAAAAAAACTATTAATTAGTAATTTCAGTAGCATTTTATTTATTTGCGTTATTGTAACAGTATCAATATTCAAATGTTCGTGTCGATTATTTTTTAAACAAAGTAAAATCGTGGCCAGAATATAATTTAGAAATTTTGAAACGTTGGGTATTATTTAAAATTACAAGCTTGTAAACGTAGGTCTCAGCAAAATTTTATTCTCTTGAGAATAAAATACCGAACAAAAAATATAAAATTTTCTTGGTTGTGTCAGAAGTACTTATTGCGTGATCTAGTTTACCCAATTGAAGACGTTATTTCATGCGTCCAACCACAAATTAGGGCTCCCAAAATTCTCATATTTTTGCATTTTATGTCATCACTGTTTTATCATCTTTTTTGTAGCTTAAATTTTAACAATGGCCACATTCTAAAAAATAGAGGAATGAAAGGGAAGAGTTTAAATCGATGACATAAATATACGAATACGAGTAAATAGCATAGTCGTCAATAACTATATTATTGGCTGAATTTTTGTTTAGAATTAATATAAACAGAATATCCGTAAATTTTCCTATGGGTATTCATGAATATATCCATGTAAAATCCAGATATTCATTCAATACTATTCATGGATGACCAAAATCCGTGAATATTTGTTGAATATCATGATAGATATTCAAAAGATCCCAGCTATAATTGGATGCACGTTATTTAGAGTCCAAAAGAGTGGAAATTTCTAATGTACGTTATTTTTAGCCCAAAAAGTGGAAATTTCTAAAGTATGTTATTTTGAGTCCAAAAAAGTGGAAATTTCCAATGTGCGCTATTACGCACTTATACACTATGAGTAATTAAAAACGTGAATGATTATACGCGTAAGTCTTGGATAATTTCAACCTCTCTTATACAATCCACTATAGTCACTAATATAATTTCTACTATTCAATCTCATCTTTTGATTTGATTTCCGATATTCATGATTATTTCGTTTAAACTGTATTTTCCAGCTCTTGAAAATGAACTTTTAGTTTTTATTCCATCACATAATTTCTTACCAACGTTGATTACATCCATCGCTTTCAATATACAAAAATGTAGGCAATCAGCTGTGAAGGTAACTTTTTAAATATTTATTTATTCTATTATGTTTATTTC